GGATTCGTGAGAAGCTCATCATCAGGGATGTTTCCCAGACCGTCGCCAATAGCCCATTGTGCAGCTCTAGTGCGACGTAAATCAACAACAACAACTGTATGGTGGATGGATCCGAATAAATAGACAGCTGTAGCCAAGCGAGTATGGTGACACCGATTTCTCGCTCAAGCCTTGCTCGACTCAAGACGTGTTATCTGCTCAGTTATGCCTTACCATAGAATAGCCCGTGACGGAAAGGTTTTACCTCCCGGCCGCCCACCAGCTTCGCCCACAGATGATGTTGATGTGTTATCTATGATCGACAAACGTTTCCTACCGCCAAGACAAATCTTAACTAATACTCGATATGCCCTTACAGCATTGATTGACTATCTCACAGGACAAACTATTGATATACTTGAGAAGCAAAAGCTACGATGGTGCTTCGACAGGCTGTTTAACCAAACAGGTGACGACTACTAAAATCAACTTGAAAGTGCAGCCTCAGTTGCTATCATGAATATCAGAAAGGGTAGAATCAACAAACTCCCGCCCTCTGCCTCTACTCCAGCCAAGCCAGATTCCATTGAGACAGAGAAAGAACCCGAGACCAACANTGAATATCAGAAAGGGTAGAATCAACAAACTCCCACCCTCTGCCTCTACTCCAGCCAAGCCTGATTCCATTGAGACAGAGAAAGAACCCGAGACCAACACTGAATGCAGTGTTCCAACCAATGACAATGCATCCAACCCTCGGACAGAAATGGACACTACAGTAACTCCGGATCTTCCTGAGAAAAAGAACAAGAAGAAGAGGAAAAAGATGAAAACAAGTGCCAACCAGGAGACACTTCCCGAACCCACCCGCCCAATCCCGGTACCAGCTCCCGCCATCCCAGCGGACCCAGTACCGACAGAGAGTATGGAGATTGCCGAACCCTTAGACCCCATCACTACCACCAGACCAGCCCTGGACACTTCTCCAAAACCAAAGCTGAAAATCCTTATCCGAGGCCTGAAAATAGATACAGATATTCTTGAATTAGAGAAATATCTCAAAGATTTCGGACTTTTCCCGGAAAAGATAGTACAGCTCAAGCGACGAAGGGGGGAGGAGCTTGGGACCCTCCCACTTTTCCTCATCATCCAATGGGATACAAGCTCGGCCAGAAATATCTACAACATCAGATCTATCTACCAGATTTCTTAGACTATTCCAAGAGATGAAAGAACTACTCAAAGATGAAGAGCTAGTCAAGCTGTTTCGGTCCCTCTTCCCTGAGTCCCAGAATTAGTGCCTACAAGTCATCTCCTCATATGACTTCCACAGAGTTAGGCTGTGGTGAACTCTTTAAATTACTTATCCTTGAAATTTAGATTTTCAAGTTAGGACTACTACAGATTCGATGAATCGGTAAGTGGCGCTTCGCGCCAAAGGCCCAGGTTACTACTATTTCCAGCGAGTATGGTTATCGGTGGTTAAATGCTAGTGGTAAACGTTAGCTTATAAGCTAGTCATTACTTATGCCTATTCGACGAAAGAGAGCGAGATTTCAACAACTTACGGAGTTTAAACGGGGAAGAATCATCGGCCTTCGTGGGTAGTGTAGTAGTAGTTCATTTACGTCGCACTTGAGCTGCACAATGGGCTATTGGCGACGGTCTGGGAAACATCCCTGAGGATGATCCGAAGACATGCCATCACAATTTTGATCCTCTGCGGAGGGGATGGCACCCCCGCTTCGGTAGCCCGACGACCTGCGCG